ATTTAAACTCGTGTGAAATTGCCTGATGAAGAGATTCCTAATAAATTATTTATATATATATATATATATGCAGATCAGGGGGAATCAACTTTGGTCTTCTGGAGCGATTGGAGCGACCTAAGAATTTGTTCATCGGGCATGCGCACTAAATTAAAGTCACCGCAAGACTTGATAATAATTGAGGATACTGATCATACTACTGATGCCCATACCCAGCGACCAGAGTTTTTTCCGTCTAGTGTCAATATGGAAATTACGACTAACATGAACCGTCATAGTTTCCTTGAAAACAGCATGGGCGAACTACAAGCTTCGTCTCTTAGGCATAGGATTAATAAGCATCATTTGTTACTTTTCGCCCACTTCATTTGCTGGCGTTGTGGTCTCATTTAACTGGGAGGCAAAAGATCCCCAACCAACGCATGACCCAGCGTGACACCAGAAGCGGCATGATGCAGAGGAGGGGGAGCAGAAAGGGGCAAGGCAGATGATGAGCGGGTGACCAACGTCTGGCATCCACGGGAGGCTGCGCTTCAGTCGTACACATACGAAAGGAGATAAAATATCAAGCAGCTTCGTTGATACGGCCAGGTTGACTGCGTAGTAATTAGAGTGACGAATAGCCTCTTCGAGAGTATAGGGATGACGGGCACAGCCACAGATAAGATGAAAGTGCCGCATGAAGCAGCATGTGCCTCATGTAAAGGGGCAAAAAGTGTTTTTCCCCTTTTCTGCTGTCTTTTAATTACATAAATAGCACACCCTCAACTTACCCCAATTCTAGTCTTTTATGGGCCGGAATGAAGGAGTAAATAATAATCCTGTTAAATGAAAGTAGGAGGTCAGATTAACCAACCAGATCACACTCCCAGTCGTGATTACTGTCAAATTATCCTCCCCATTAACGCGCATCCAATGGTGTGATGTTTACAGGCAAGCGAACATAGTGTGACTTAGTGAGTCAATAGTGAAGACGTCTCTATATGAGAGCGATAGGCATCATTTGACAAGTTTCAAATGCACATTTGCTTCAGTAGATCACATTCTGGCAAGCGGTTCATTATTCGGATGTGCCGATTTGGAAAAGACGGGAAATTGAGAAGCGAACGATTTTACTGTCCTATTGCCCAACTTGCGGAGAGTGTTGGGATATCCCGACGCTGAATGAACTCAATTTTTGATAATTACGAACTAAGTATTAGGCTGCGATATAAATATTAGCAACGCCCTCAGATTTTCTGTATTTATGTCAAGCTTAATAGAGCTCCTATACCTGGGCAGCATAAGTCTCCTATTTAACAGAGGGTCTGACCTCACCGTCGTCATTTGGTCGTCTCTTCGTGGTGACCTAAATGTAGGTATCTCGCCCAGCGTCATGCTAATTTTCAGTGTCAGAGCGTGGACTTGGTGCATGTACCGACGTTTTGTCTGCACTGCCGGTGAGCCTTGCCAGTCTTAGCAACAAGATGCAACTTGTCCCTTTGACAATGTCAGGAAATGTGCCAAGTCCATGGTTCAACGTTGGAAATTGTCATGACTAATAGGGCGGGGGACTCCGAAATGATGCGCTTATCTGGGTCGCCCTGAAAACACGGCAAATCGCCCAAGCGATACCAATCCACTCGTATATAGCGACCAAAATGGAGGCCAAGCCATCCTGATCTTAGTCTCTGATTTAAGGTTATATGACAAGAACTTGGGTCGCTTTAGACGATGCAAGGACTGAATGTTGAATTTTCTCACAATCGAATGAATACGTCGCAAGATGCCATTGGAGTTCTCCTAACCTTGCTTCCCAAATGGTTTCCCCATTCAGCTTAACCCATAGTTTAGACATCGTCTCATCGTCTCATCTGCATCCCTTAGGGTATTTAAAGCCAGGCCATGTGTGTTGCCACTCCGACACAGGTACCGATGGGCCACGAAGAAGAAGGTATTTGTAAGGCCCAAACAGGCCTCTCTAAAACCCCATTTGTGCTGAGGGTGTGACAAGCACTATGAAAATTGACGGCTCTAGCCATTTTCAAAGTGAGTATCGTTAGACACCCTCAGTAATTCTTTAATAAGTACCCGAGCAACATAAGATTAATTAAGTTTTTAATAAAGGATTACTGCCAATCTTAGGCAATTCGCTCTCCTAAAGTCTCAACTGTGTCTTTGGTTAATCTGTGACTAAGCCTATTCCCTTAGCAGCTAGGGCTTCAGGGCCATAATAATCCAGAAGCTCAAAAGCGACCCACTGGGATGTAACCGTCGTCATGGTCACTACTTCCACATTGACTGTATCCGTACCAGATTATCCATGCTCTCTTGTACTCTAGTATACAAACTCAAAATAGAGAGACACTTCTGGTAGTAGATCATAATCGTACAAAGAATTTGCGTCAATAATTCCTCCTCTGCAAGCTACCGAAGTCTATCGCAGGTGCCTCAGCTGAGTACACAGGGAAGTCAAGCAAGCCACTGTTGAGAAGAGCATCAAGACAGTGGTAGAAGCGTACATGCGGATTTGACATGTGTACCTAATGAAGAGATATTTGTCTAGTCTAACCCAGTGTCTACCAGCTGGTATCGAGACTAGAGAAATGGGCCTCAGGCTCCCAGTATGAGGTAGGAATATGTAGTAGTTAGCTGAAACAATTTTCCGTCCTCGAGTCTAGGCTTGTTTACCTTGCCAGCAATGAAAACGTGTGCTAATTACTATGCCAGGGAAGGCTTGGCAACATCGAGTTTAGGCAGCTCTTGAAAGACCATCGAACGCTAGAAAAGTATGAGCACATCTGATGCCAAACATTAGTAGTAACGGTGAGTTAATGCCGTGCAATGGTGAGGCATGTCGGAATTATGCATGTTATTGAGAATGAGTATACTTCTCCACAGAGACTATGAAAAATAGCATTTTTTAGATCGTTTTTGTGGCTAAAAATATAGCCACGCAAAAATAGTTCCAATCTATGCAGACGAGTAGACTATAACGTACGCCAGAAGCTCTTTCAGACTGAAGAATATTTGAAATGAGAATGCAGTACAGATTTGAGGGAGGAGAAGCAGCTCGCAAGTGGGGATTATTGTCTCAAGTGAGCGGTGAACGATCTCGGTCGACGCCTCGAGAATGCTAGCAAGACTGACTCATATTTTTATTGGGACTCATAATGACGCATAATTACTCTATTAGATACGAAGAGAAACTGGGTTTCAATGAATCTCCTGAGATAACATTGTTAGAGGGACCTTCATTTTGAATGAAAGTGCATGAAGAAGAGATTCGTTGGTCGTTCTCACCAGATGAGGACGGATGAATCTCATTGTACTGTAGCCGTTTGGATTTTATACAATATTCATGTTGACGCAGTCCACGAGACTTCCTCCCTCGCTTTCGTCCATCATATGATGGACATCATCAGAGCTGGGCGTCATTCTTGTAAAAGTCTCACGTTAACACTAAAGCAAGAACACTATCCGGTTCTATTTTACTTCTTAGAGAGACTCAATCGAGCCAAAACATTGAAATGTGAAAACCTAGATAGATTGATATAGAGTGGTTTGGTAAATTTTCTTTCATACTCGATTGTATGAGTATGTATATTTGTGTATGTTAACGTCTATATGCAATACGGTTCCTAAATCAGAGTTGTCAAAGGTTAAATTTCCGGTTCTGATCCTCAAGACCTAATAACCCAAGAGAAAATCTTTGACCGAGACTGCCTAGGTATGAAAATAAGTATGGTTGAGATAGTGAAATATGAGTAGGTAAGCGCAAAATTTATCCGTCCTCATATGGTGAGATCGACCAACGAAGCTCTTCTTTATGCACTTTCATTCGAAATGAAGGTCCCCCTAACAATGACTATAGTAGGGCATAACGAAATCATACAACCCTAGTCATTAGAAAGTATGGCAATAACAATTGATAAGCTCCACCGGTTTGTTTAATGAATCTGCTGCACTCATTTTGTGCAAAATGAAAATATAAATTCTACGCGACCAAACTTCTGGACCTTGGTTTCCATAATGTGATCAGCAGCACTAGACTTTATTATGTACTCGAAGGTATGAAGACCAAGATGGTGTGGCCTTTTGTGTGGTCGCAGTCTCCTTTCGTGGTCAACATTTCCAGCACAAGGGGGAAGGGGGTGAGAACGCTACATGGAGTGTGAAAGGTTTTCATGGATGCCGCTCGAAGAAGCACACCACACTACATCAAAATAAGCACGGTAAAAATTGTGACAGGGAAGGTGTGATAGGATTATTTAGGAAGTGTGAATAGCCCAGGGCAGAACGAGAGATACCACAACTGTTTAGCACACGTTTGGTCAAAGGATCGGCTTCACTTGTCTCTTTGACGAGTTGTTTGAATGGTGCTAAGAATGTCGAGACTCACTGATGATGCCGACTACGATGCCGGCAAAACGTCTGGGAATGTACCACGTCTACGGTTCAACTTTGGAAATGATTATGCAGACAATAGACCCCGGACTAGGTGCGTTCCAATAAGTCTTCCTACCAATATGACCATGTTTCGAAAACAAGGTCAAACAACCTTTATTATCTACTGTTAACCTAGACCGACGTAAACGCAACGTGTATTTACGCATAGGAATATGGGGGGGCTTTGGGCAATCGTTTACGATGGCACTATGTAAATTTAGATAAGCCACCATTTTCTCTATCTAGAAATTGTAGAAGCATGTGTAAGCAAGATACAAGATAGCATAGAAGCTGCTTCACTAACGCGAAATCCCCTATGCCTTTCGCTCTGACCAGGCATATCTCCAGAAATTAAGAAACATGCGGGCAGTGAATAGGTGTCAAATATTCACGATCCCTCCACTGGTAGGGTTGACTGACTCGAATAACATGGATTGCAAAATTCCCATCAATTAGCTTACATTTCGTGTAGCTCTTTTTCATTTTAATCTGCAGAGAAGAGTCGCCGTGATGCAGTGTTAAATTTTTTTTTAATATGGTAGTCAAAACTATGTTTAAAATGTCCTCGATCCTTCATAATAATATATGCATATTTATAGTGATGTCCGATACTTAGTATCAACATTTCTAAAGGATTTGGTATTGAGGATAGCAATAGCCGAAATTCGTGTATCAATTTAAATAGATTCAATTTTTAGACAAAGTTTCCAACATTGAACTAAATAAAAAAAAATGTACCACAACATTTGTGGGTTGACACACAAGGGCATGGAAAATCATAGACTTGGTATTAGGGATAGAAACAGGATAGATACGGAGCAAGAGAGAGACTGGGATAAGACTAGGAAAGAGGGCTGCATAATAATAAAGCAGATTCTGATCAACATTCCCTGCACAAGGATAAGGAGGGGGGAGTGAGAAAGTGTCATGTCGCTCAAAGGAGCACATCACACTATCTAAATAAACACGGTAAAAATTGCAATAGTGAAGGCATGATAGGATGCTACCGGGAACGTGAATAACCCAGGGCAGAAGGGGAGATACCATAATTGTTTAGCATACATTTGGTCAAAGGATCGGCTTTACTTGTCTCTTTGACGAGTTGCTGTATGGTGCTTAGGATGGCGATACTCACTGACGATGCCGACTACGATTGGCGAAATGTTTGGGAAGGTACCACGTCCACGGTTCAACTTTGGAAATGATCATGCAGACAATGGACTTCGGACTAGGTGCGTCCTCTAAGTCTTCCT